TTTGGGGGCCATTATCAAGTAAAATAAGGATTACTTGGACACAAGGACTGCAGTACTGCAACAGTGGATCCGAGATGTTTGCTAAAGGACTAATGGGTAGATAGCACACACAGGGTGGATACGCTGGGTGGGCAAAGGGATGATTCACATCYTGGGTGGAACAGAGAGGATGGCCTCAGATTCCTTCATGCTAGTCAGATGGGGGCAACTGAAAACTTACGAGTTGCTTATGTCTGGAAAACTCCAGTTCATGTTTTCAGGCCACTGTTGACTGTGGGCAACTGAAGCCGCAGAAAGTGAAATGGAGAAGGGGGACTCCTGCAGACTCAGAGCCTGGGGGGATAGGAACCCCACCCACCAGGAGAAGTCACAAACAGTCACCCAGTTACCTGGGGACCGAGTGGACCAGCAGGRGCAGGCTTTCTGGTTAGAGGGCAGGTGCAGTCGGCTTGTTTGARTGACTTCCTGGCCTGGCAGGGAGGGAAAGCTGCTGGGCTGGGGACCAGGCAAGGTGCAGCTGGTCCAGCAGATAGGAGAACTGGCCCCCTGGGAGCCTTGCCCACCCCTAGGGCCATCGGGAAGAGCCCTGGGGGCGGGCTCTTCATTAACTTCTGTCACTCATCATCTGAGGTCACAGTCGGTGGCTGTGTATTTTCTGTGCACCCAGCTCCACAGCGCATTGGAATATAAGTTCGGGTGCGATGCAGTCTGTGAGGCGAGTCCCACACGCTCCAGGGAGGAGGCACCAGGGGAGCGAAGCAGCTTGCAGATGTCACAGCAGCGRATGTCGCTTTTGTGCTTGCTGATCCCCCCAAATTTCTCTTCCAGTTACTCCACCGTGTGGTTCCTGCTCACTGGGCAGCCTGTCAGCGGGCCTTGTGGACGTCTGTCCCAATACTCCAAGAAAAGGTGAGCCACGCTCCAGGTACTCACTAGCTACACCATCGGCGGGGCGCCAACGGCACCGCAGCCCCCACGTCTTCCTGTGCTGCCCTTCAGTCAGACCCTGTAAGACACACTTGTCATCTCATGGCTGAACAGTGGCTACCAAGGGATCTCACACCAGGGAATCACGAGCCAGGACAAAGGGGAGGGCCAGGTCTTTCATCCACAAGAGGCTCAAGAGTCTGTCACTTAGCAGCTGTGGTGGCACAGGACTGTAATTCCAGGGACCCTGGAGGCTGAGACAGGAGGATTGCAAGCTCATGACCAGCCTGGTCAACTCTGAGACCACATCTCAAAATACAACAAAATAGTAATCGTAGTAGTAATAACAACAATGATAAAAGAACCTGTCACTTTATCCAGAAATGCAGTCAGTCACTCCCGTAAACTCTCTGGCTCTTAGCAGTCATGCTGGGCGGCTCACTGGTCAGGACTGGGGTCCATGTGCCTCCTCCGCTAGTCATGGGTGTACAAAGCAAGACTTCTCATGACGGGTTTGACAAAGCCGCAGTTCACCCTCTGGGGCTTGTGAAGGGGCAACACTGACCGTTCACCAGGACAGTGGTCAACACCCACTGTGTGAGCAGTTTCCTGTGGGTGGGAAGGAAATGGGGCTGATGAGGCTGGGATGTGGCTTGTGAGGGAGCACGTGCCCCAAAGCACAACCACTGAGCACAGGAGCCCTCACCTGTAATCCCAGTGGCTCGACGGGTGAGACTCCAAAGTCCTGTTGCCAGCGGGCTCCTGAAATACAAGCCAGAACACAGAAAGCTCTGTTCCAACACACTGTGTCACCCAGTGATCCCCTTGAGGACACTTCATCGCCCCAAAGATGGGGGATCCCGGAAGGGAGAGAGTGATGGCCTCAAGATAAGAGGGTGACTGAGTTCCTGTGGGAGAGCCCCMCACACACACACCAGAAGGCAGCATTCTGTAGATGTTACATCAAGGGCGTGGGAAGGTCACAGAGGCACATGGACAGGGGAGATCTTTAATATTTTCCTTAGCCCTCGGCCCCCAGAGACTTTCAGCAGAGGATTCCTGGAAGAGATAGCTCTCCTGCACTACAGACATGCATCTGCGGGTTGCCAAAGGGGTGCAGATAAAGGGGCTCTGCTCCTCCAACCAGCCCCGGGTTTTGTTGGGATGCAGCCTCTGACTGAGCTGGTGGGCAGCCTCCAGCCAGCTCCCAGGAAATGCTGCTGCTCTGGGGACTGCCCTTGGAGTCGAAGGCATGGAGTGTGTACTTACCCACCACATCTGGTAATGTCTCAGCTTCCCGTGACAAGGTGACAAGGACTTTATAAAGAAGGGCCAAGGCCCTCAGACTCCCTCCAGAAAACGGCTCCAGGGCAGGGGATACACCTCAGTTGGAAGGACAGTTGCCTCGCATGCACAAAGCTCTGGGTTCAATCCCCAGCACCACACACACACACACACACACACACACACACACACACAGCAGAAAATGGTTCCAAAGACACTGCAGGACAAGCAGGCGCTAGACCAGGAGTTTATTCGTTGCTGATGAGTCTCCCATTCCTCCCCTCTAGATCCCCGGGAAACCTACAGGGACTATGTCCGCAGGAAATTCCGGCTGATGGAGGACCGCAATGCGCGCCTGGGAGAGTGCGTCAACCTCAGCCGCAGGTACACCCGGCTGCTCCTCGGGAAGGATCACTCAAATCCCATGCGGGCCCAGGAGAAGCTTTTGGACACAGGCCGGGGACACCAGTCCAGCCCCATCCAGATAGAGACCCTCTTCGAGCCGGACGAGGAGCGCCCAGAACCACCGCGCACCGTGGTCTTGCAGGGGGCAGCAGGGATGGGCAAGTCCATGCTRGCGCACAAGCTGATGCTGGACTGGGCCGACGGGAGGCTCTTCCAAGACAGGTTTGATTATCTTTTCTACATCCACTGCCGGGAGATGAACCGGAGCGCTGCCGAGCGGAGCGTGAAGGAACTCATCTCCAGCTGCTGGCCGGAGGCCCGGGTGCCCCTKCGGGCGCTCGTCTGTGCCCCCGAGCGCCTCCTGCTCATCATCGACGGCTTCGATGAGCTCAAGCCTTCTTTCCATGATCCTCAGGGATCCTGGTGCGTCTGCTGGGAGGAAAGACGTCCAACCGAGCTGCTCCTGGGCAGCCTGATTCGGAAGAAGCTGCTGCCCGAGCTGTCCCTGCTCATCACCACGCGKCCCTCGGCCTTGGAGAAGCTCCACGGCTTGCTGGAATACCCCAGGCACGTGGAGATCCTGGGTTTCTCCGAGGCGGAAAGGAAGGAGTACTTCCACAAGTATTTCCGCAGTGCAGAGCAGGCCACCCAAGTCTTGAGCTTTGTGAGGGACAACGAGCCCCTCTTCACCATGTGCTTTGTTCCCATGGTGTGCTGGGTCGTTTGCACCTGCCTCAAGCAGCAGCTGGAGGGTGGGGGGCTCTTGAGACAGCCCTTCAGGACCACCACTGCCGTGTACACGCTCTACCTTCTCAGCCTAATGCAACCCAAACCAGGGACTCCGACCCTCAAGTGCCCACTGGACCACAGGGGGCTGTGCTCTCTGGCCGCAGATGGCCTCTGGAATCAGAAAATCCTATTTGAGGAGCAGGACCTCCAGAAACACGGCCTGGACGGGGTAGATGTCTCTGCCTTCCTCAACGTGACCATCTTTCAGAAGGACATAGACTGTGAGAAGTTCTACAGCTTCATCCACCTGAGTTTCCAGGAATTCTTTGCTGCCATGCACTATATCCTGGAGGGCGGGGAGCGTGGGCCAGGCCCAGAGCAGACCATGACTCGGCTGTTGATCGAATACGGGTTCTCAGAAAGGAGTTTCTTGGCGCTCACCGTCCGCTTCCTGTTTGGGCTACTGAATGGGGAGATGAGAAGCTACTTGGAGAAGCATCTTTGCTGGAAGACCTTGCCTCACGTCAAGATGGAGCTGCTGAAGTGGATCCAAAGCAAAGCTCGGAGCGAGGGCTCCACCCTGCAGCAGGGCTCCCTGGAGTTCTTCAGCTGTCTGTATGAGATCCAGGAGGAGGAGTTTATCCAACAGGCCCTGAGCCCCTTCCAGGTGGTGGTAGTCGGAGACATTGCCACCAAGATGGAGCACATGGTCTGCTCCTTCTGTGCCAGGTGCTGTAGGAGTGTCCTGGTGCTACACTTGTATGGGGCTGCCTACAGTGCCGACCAAGAGGGCACCTCCACGTGGCCTTCTGAAACCCAGGCGCCGTCAGGGCCGACGTAAGTACCCCTCAGGCTGACCCTCCAAGTCCATGCCCTCATCTCTTGGTTCTCTGTTAGGGGAAATTTGCAGCCTTATTGCCATCATTGCCATCTGGACCCATGAGGCAATACCTGGGCAGCAGAGTGACTTTGCTGCCATCTAGTGGCTGGAAGGCAGAGGTGCAGCAGGACGTCCCAAAACCTGCAGGGCAGTCCCAGAGTGATCTGKCCCTCAAAAGCCCACAGTGCCAGAGCTGCTCACTTGTAATCCCAGGGACTCGGGAGACTGAGGAAGGAGGATCACAAGTTCAAGAGCAGCCTGGACGGTTTAATGAGAGCCTGTCTCCAAATAACACAGGAAGGGCTGGGAGTGTAGCGGAGTGGTAGAGCACTTGCCTACCACCACGTGCAAGGCCTTGGGTTCAATACCCAACAYCGCAAAAASAGAAAAGACAGAAAGAAGAAGGCAAACAGGCAACAAGCTTGTCAAAGACTAAGAGTTTCAGAGAGGTCACTGCTGTGAGGAAAATCCCACAGGATGATGGGACGGCAGTGATGAGGGGTGGGGGACACCGGAGCTGGCCATCAAGGTGGGAGGTGCTGAGGAAGTGGTGAGTAACCTTACTCACCACTCAAAGAACAGACTTGGTTCTGTGTGATTCCAGCTACCCAAGAGGCTGAGGCAGGAGGTTGGCAAGTTGGAGGCCAGCCTCAGCAACTTAGTGAGACCCTCTCTCAAAATAAAAAGGGCTGGGATATGGCTCAGTGGTTAAGTGCCCCTGAGTTCCATTCACATCTGGGGAGTTGTGGGGGGAGACTGTTTTGGTCTGAATGGTTCATTGGTAAATGGTCTTGGGAAAATGAACATGAGTGGAGACAGGCTGGACATGACTGAGTGGCGGGCACTTGCCGGGCATGCATGAGGCCCTGGGCTCCATCCCTAGCACCTCAAAAGAGAGGGAGAAAGGAGAGGAGAGCGGAAGGGAAAGCAGCAACAAAGGAGCATCCAGCTCTTCGTCTGCCCCCATAGGCAGGGAGCCAGCCCCTGTCAGTATTGGATGAGAACTAGGGTCCCCTGTCAGTCACTGGATGAGAACCAGGGTCCCCTGTCAGTATTGGATGAGAACTAGGGTCCCCTATCAGTCACTGGATGAGAACCAGGGTCCCCTGTCAGTCACTGGATGAGAACCAGGGTCCCCTGTCAGTCTCTGGATGAGAGCCAGGGGTACAGTCTCCCCCCTCCCAGGCAGCCCTGAGGACTGGGTGAAGCCCTGAACTTCCTCAGTGGGGTGAGCTGGAGACAGCTTTAGACAAGCTGAGGAGGGAGGGTKTGCAGGAGCAGGAGGAGCCACCCCTGGCTGCAGGTGAGGGTTGGTGTGCCCACAGCCTCTGGACTTGGGGCTCATTCCAGCAACCAGACTCTGCCTCCCTCCTGGCTCTGCGGTTGGAACTGGACCCCTCATTTGTAAGAAAKGACTTAAACGTGCATCATGGTTTTTCTTCTTTCTTTCTTTTCTTTCCAGGGTTGCAAGCCAGGACTTTAGATTACACTGCAGGTGRGATTCCATAACCAAAATGCTTGGGACCAGAAATGTTTCACATTTTTAAGACTTTGATATACTTTCAAATAGGGCTRGTGATATAGCTCAGTTGGTAGAGTGCTTGCCTCACATGCACAAGGCCCTGGGTTCAGTCCCTAACACCACACACACACACACACACACACACACACACACACACACACATCCAAATACATAATGAGGTAGCTCCAAGGTGGGGTCCAAGTCTAAGCACAAACTTCTCCTGTGCTTCACCTGGACCTTATACACGTATCCAGAAGATTCCCCCCACGTCTTCCTGGTTGCTCAGTGCTGGTGATGGAGCCCAGGGCCTCACGTGGGTCAGGGTGGCCTTCCTCACCCCTGACTGCGCCCAGCCCTGCACTGTGCTTTCCCACCAGCAGAAGCCTCTCAGTCAATCTCAGGGTCACTCTCAGGAAGCCCCTGGAATCTTTTTCCGTATTTTTTATTGGAGCGTTGTAGTTGACATAAGGGTG